TTCATTTGTGTGCTGTTGTATCTCTTTAAATATTTTTTTCTAAATAGAAAGATGCTTCTGGACTTTCATCCCAAACTTTGACTTCTGAGAGCATTCCTATAAATATAAGATTGTCAGTTGTTCAGGTTTACTAGCTGAGATTTTTTTGTAATCAAAATCCATTGCAACTTTGTTGTACAAATATGGATTTTGGCAATTCAGTTTCCCACTCTGGGACATTGTATAGACAGTGTAAATATTCATGAACAGATTGTTTTTGAAGGGCGTTGGTTAGTGACAGTTTTGTTGCAAATAGTATCTGCTACTCTTGATTTATTTAGAATGTGAAGGTTAAACTTGGCTTAGTAGAAGCAGATTTTTTAGGAAGAGTTGCCTGGCAGGCTTTTTGGACTACTTCCTTCCTTTAAAATGTCTTTTCAAAATAAATAGCTATTATGCTGTGAATTATGAAGTTTTTTAAACCTGAGCTTGAAGTTTGCAAAAAATCCAAGCATTTCTCTGTTCTGTAGAGTTTGTTCCTACATGGCTTGATAGGAGGCTTTAAGTTGAGTTCTCTTGAGTCTTCTTGGAATAAATACATTTGTAGGCAGTGAAATACTGACTTCATTTCCTAGACTTGATGAGGGGAAACTGAGAGGAAGAAGGAAAGGGTTAAAAAAACAAAAAGGGTGGGGAAGAGGAGAAATAGTCTGCAGTTAGTCAGCTCTTCAGTTATTGGGCAGAACATCTGCTGAGGATTTCTCTCTAATGTAGTATCCCCGACCTTAAATGCCCTTCAAAACAATCTGTTTATGGATATTTACATTATGCAGTATTCCAGAGTGGGGACTGAATTGCCAAAATGCATGTGAATGGTTAACCTGTTAACTGGGAAGCCTCACCCATTAAGGGTTAACATGTTCCAGTTTACTGCTGGGGGTTGGGGTGCTCCAGCCAAGTAAGAGCAGTCCTGTCTGCAATGAGTCCAGACTAGGCACACTGCAACCGGGGGTGCTCCAGCCAGTTGGAGCAGCCCCTGTCTGTGATGGGAAGGGGGGCACTCCAGCTCGGGGTGGGGGTGGGGGAGCACTTCAGCCCAGTTGGGCCTGTGCCCCCCTTTAATTAGTTAGCCAAATAAACATTAGGTTTAGCCGGTTAGCCAATTAAGCGGGATTTTACATCCCTAGTCCTTAGATATCATGTTGCTGGGTACTATAACCCCCACCCCTCTCATTTTGGGTCTGATGATCATTACTGGGATTTGCTGTGTTGTAATTTTGTGTTGGTCCCAGGATATTAAAGAGACAAGGTAGGTGAGGTAATATCTTTATTGGACCAGCTTCTGTTGATGAGAGAGACAAGCTTTCAAAGAAGAGTTCTGTGTAAGCTCAGAAGGTTCTCTTTTTCTCACAATCAGAAGGTGGCCCAATAAAATATATTACTTCGCCCACCTTGTTGCTCATTACTAGAGGATAGATGTTTGTAGGACACCTGGAAATAATTTTAACATCTTCTGTGATGGAAATAAAATAGGTTTTTTTTTTTTTAAATATCAGTAATGTTATACAGAAGAAAAGATGAAAATGTATTCTTGGGAAGGACAAGGAACTTGAAATTCTGCTGCTATACCTGGTACCGAGAAAAGATAAAATTGTGCACTAGGAATTTACTTATTATTTACAGAAGATCTGAATCTGGAGTAGATTCTTCTTGAGACTAGAAGACCCTGACTGAGGCAGAAAAATCATCAGCACCAAGAGGCTGAATGGGCATTTAATAGGATTAGTGCATTCCATTCTGCCATATGGTTGGCATCTGCTTTTGTTATTCTTTATGTTATGATTTTCTGCATAAGATAAAACCAAGTGTCAATGTTTTATTGCATTTAAACAACCTTGTTTACACTCATGTCATATACGAGTATGCTCCATTATCTCCCGCTCTAAAGCCCATCACCAAAAAAGCATTGAAAGTGTATTAGCTAAGTGTTCAACATCATTTATAAAACGTAACTGTAGTTAGGGCAGGTTGTATTTTAATATTTGTTAGTTTGTCAATGTGAATCCAAGGCTTCAGTATGCCAGTGAAGACATGTTTAAAATACAGCATGCCAATCTACATTACAGCTTTAGAAAATGAAAAGTTGAACCATTTTTAGTGAGCATGTTTTAAAAATAGTTTTTGAATACAAAGGGTGGGCAGTTTGTGAAGGGAAAATCTAGACAAGTGCTTTACACATTATTATAATTTTGTCTTTTTGGTTTGCGATAATTTTTTTTTTTAGTTACAATTAGTTCAGTCTAACTTTTTTTTGCCAAGTATTCCTCGCTGTCTTGCTGTGAAGTTAAAAAAAATGGTGAGAGATTCAGCAAAAAAGAATTGAAGTTAATTGAAAACTGGAACATAAAAATTAGTCTGATTAAAATTGGGGGTGCTAGAAGATTCTTTGATAAGAATAAAGAGTTGTGGATGGATATGCTAGAGCATGGGTGGGCAATAAGTTTTGGTTGGAAGGGGCAGGGCCAAGATGCTTCTGGGTTTCCTCGCCCACAGACCAGGATTGGTCTGGGGGTGGAGGGAGCCCGTTTGCCCTCCCCCTTTCCATTAGGCACCTGTGCCCCTGGCAGGCCGGAAGAGGCTTAACACGCTCCCCCATTCCCAGGCCAGTCAGGGCCTGGGGGCGGGGGAATGTGCAAAGCTTCTTCCCACCCTGCGAGGAATGTGTGGCACTTTGAAGTGCTGCATGCTCCTCACAGGGTCGGGGGAGGGCAAAGAAAGTTGTGCGCGGCTCCCCCGTCCCAGGCCCTGATTGGCTTGGGGGTGGGGGGAGTGCGCAAAGCCTCCTTCCACCCTACCCTCCGCATGCTCCTCACAAGGCGGTACTTTAAAGTGCCATGTGCTCCTTGCAGGGTGGGAGGAGGCTTCACATGCTCCCCAGGCCAATCAGAGCCTGGGGACGGGGGAGCTGCGCGCAACTTCCTTTGCTCTGTCCCCGCCCTGTCTACATTACATCTTATTTAGAAAAGGTGTGACCTCTCCTCCTGCCCTGCAAAGAGCACATGGTGCTTCAAAGCGCCGTGTGCTTCTGGCATGGTAGAAGGAAGCTTCGCGTGCACCCCTACCACCAGGCCTTAATTGGCCTGGGGTGGAGTCCTTTTTGCCCACCCCATGCTAGAGTTTCAATTCTTAACCTATCGTGTTCCTGTTTACCAATAAATGCAACTCTTACTCGTGTATATTGTCAAATATTTGGAAAGTAAAATTTAGCTAGAATTCCATTCTGAAGATATTGAAATTAAATTTAAAGCGTGGCTATGTTTTGCAAAGTGTCACAGTAAGATGGTGATATTTTTCTTAACAGATCTTCTCTGTGTGTACATTCACGGTCATAAAAACTCATTTTTATCATTCAACAGTTATTGGTTTTCTTCTTAATTGTACAGTCAACATAGCTCAGAGAGATCAAACTGAGTTGGTTTCACCTCGTGCATCAGTAATACAATGGATGTAAATCAACCTATTGGCTAAACCGGTACAAATCTTAAAAAACTGCTAGTAGTCCTGCAGCACCTTAGAGGCTAACAAAAAATGTAGATGGTATCACGAGCTTTTGTGGGCACAGCCCATACCTTTTTTGTTTTGTTTTGTTTTTGCTGCAGAATCGTGAGGAGAGATGTAAAATGGAAAGAGACCAGCTTAAATTGCTGCTTACAGGATTAGTTTACAGCACTGGTAGTAGCTCGAATAATGCCCTTATGTACTAGAATAGTTGTGCCCACTTGATCTGGAAACTGCTGATGTAAAATAGAGAACCTCACAACAGTATTGTAGCAATCTTACTTCAACAACCTCACTTTAAGATGAAAACAAACGCCCAATAAATATTTCTTGGTGTCTGCTCACTGAATTTATTGGCACTGTGCCCTTCTGCATTTCATCCACCAGCCTTTCCTACTCCAAATGGCAGGCATTGTGGGAAATAATGGGGAAGGGTGCCTTTCTTCATTTTCTTTTGTGAGAACTAAATCATTATCACTCTGCATGAGTTAGTCATTCCAAGTAGCATGTTGCTCTCTGTTGATGCTGAAGCCTGGCAAGTATATTTATCACAAGCACAGTTGGTTTACAAAGATCCATAAATGCATGCTGGAAACTGAAGTATTCAAAGTGGCTTTGGCTGATAGTTCATTAAAGTCTTGAGCAAAAAACCAAGTTGTTTGAAGTTTCTTTGAAACGGTTCCTATGCACCTTTCAGCATTTAGGAATGCTGCATAACTGGCTTGCTGTTGCTGCATGTGGTAAACTCCCAAGAGCAGGATTTAATGGCTGGAGCAGGGAAATGAAAATCAGGACTACTCCCCTGTAAAACTGGGATGGCTTTATAAATATTTGTATCACTATTACATCCTCAGATAAGTCTGATAGAAGTTCAAAAAATTACTCTTAAGAATGGGTGTGAGGCTCATAAAGGGTTTGCTGCTTTAGATATTTGGGAAATTCTAGCTATGTTTTGATGGGGGTGGGGAAAAGAGGTTTATAGTTAATGGCATGCTTAGTTCTCTAAGAAGTAGCAAATTAATATATGGTGTCTCTCCACTTCTCTTTGAGTATTAGTGGTGTTGTACTCTTGAATCAGGTCATATGTAATAATGCCGTTTGGTTTACATTAGCTAGTTTTGGATGGTATTGATTTCTAAGTTATGTACTAACAGTGGGATAATACTGGAGAAACCCCAGTAAAAGCAGTAGAAAAGCTAGTTAGCGAACTACTTTCACAGTATGGCTGTGGCAAATACAAATAGACTGATTACATAAGAACTTAGTGTAGAACAGGTTTTGTCATAAATCTTGAAATTGATGTTCCCATGTGATTATTATTCATCCCATGTGGGTAAGAATGGAATGTCTCAGAGATGAGAATTTTCTCTACATTTCCTCTCTATTAGGGCTAAATGATTGTTTAAATTCACTCATGAAAAGTGCAGCTTCCTCCTTAATGTTTTTTTTGTTTCTATTTGTAGGCGCTCAATGACTTTTGGACGATGGCTTCCACCATACCTGGATTAAATTCCTTGTCCTGCAGATGACGAGCATCTTCTCTAAATAAGGAAGTGGGAGAATATCCTGCTCTGGCAAATGGGTTCTGGACTGTAACTCCACCAAGAGGAAATGCAGCTCCTCTTTCCATGTTATCTTACTTGGTTTAACTCTTCTGCAAACCCTCAAATCCGGAATAGACAATCCCCTCTTCCAAAGTGTAAACATGATTTTATAATGCTATAAATATGAATATATACATATAATTTTTTTTTCAAGATCTTTGTTAGAAACTGGCCAATTTGAAACTTCAAGGAGTATGTGCTGAGTGACGTGCTCTACCATATTCATTCTATGTAGCTTTAAAAAATATTAAAATTAACATCACCCTTACAGCATATTTCATCCATGTTTGTCCAAAACACATGCCCACAGGTTAATCTGTTTCTTGTTCTTTGTTATTTCATTTTGGGGATGTTTTTGTATTTTTGCTTTGTTTTGAAAGGTTCTGCATATACTGGGAGGTGAGTCAACACTGGCCTTGGCAGAACACCATAAAACCAAGAGAGTAATTACGTGACGCAAACCTTTGATTATTTTTTTCTCTGTAAAACTTTCTGGCACAGCTGGGCATTCCAGTTGCAAAAGAAGGAACAGGAGAAGAAACTCCTAAAGATCTGCATGAAGAGTTAGAAGAGAATTTTAACAGGGAAGTTTTACTATCCAAAATAAAAGCACTTCCCAGTACAGTTATGGAATCTCTCCTTTTTCAGCCTTCTCAGAACTGAAGTTATCTTTTTCACCACTTCTGTTGGAAGGAAGGCTTTATTTTGGGTTTGGCCTTGTCTGCTTTTTCAAAAGTTGTGTTGCTCTGTGTTCTGTAGGAGGATTATAAAAGTATTAAAAGAAGTCTTACGTTTTGCTTGTTGTGGACCCAGCTGGACCAGCAATTACACTGTCTTAAGGAGAGTTCTATTGAAGTTACTGCTTGTTCAGAAGAAGTATGTATCAGCAAAGCAGTTGCACTTGAAAGACCATGGATTCCTTCATTTTGCTTGCTTCTGTTCTGTTGCCTATAAAGTATCATCATCCCTACATTGTCAGCAGATGAATGATATCATCCTGAGCTGGATTTAAAATAAATATATACAGCTAGCTCATGAATACCATGTGTCCACATTGAAAGAGAAATTTTGTTTAAGCTGTATTTTCAGGGGATTGGATTGTACTCCATAGTTCTCACTTTGAGTAAAGGACAGACTCTTGTCCAGTGAAAGACTTTCAGTCAAACAGAGGTACAAAAGCCTTCTTCATATTATACAGCTAAATGTGAAAGATGTCTTGGAAAAGGACTTATTTTTCTGTAGGACGGGGTGGCGTTCAGGGGATGTTCACTCCACGTAATACAACTTCCATAGCACCCAGTAAAGGTCTCAGCAATGAACCAGGCCAGAATAGCTGCTTCTTGAATAGTGCTTTGCAGGTAAGGATGCTGTATACGGCATGTCTGTCTTTGTATTTCACCATTTTTGCTTCATTTTATATTTTTACTGTTGCTAACTTGTTCTTCAAGGATCTGTCTACACAACAAATACAGCCAACTTAGGGGACTTCAGCAATGCATTGTCTCCTGATCTCAGATAGAATACAGTTTTATTTTGTAGCATAGATTAACAGTGCTTCATAACTGGAATAAAGCTAGATTTTTAAAATGAAAGTATATTAAATGGACACATTCAACTTAAATTACACGTATGTCTGATTTTATTTAAAATGAATAAAATTGAAGGATTAGGGAAACCTGCTTATTCATTTTTTAATGTTCAGTTTTATGTAGCACATTTAGTCAGTTATTCCTTTTGTTTATATAGGTTTTCACACAACAGGAGAAAAAAATATTTTGATGAAATAGGAAACTTGATTTTGAAATCACAAAAATTGGCAGGGCTTTTGGCAAATCTAGTTCCTGAAACTAACTAACTTTTTTGATATGAATAGATTCAGTTGATAGCATCCATTTAAAATCCCTTTTGTGAAGTTTGTATTTTTTGACTATTGAATTTGAGATCAGAGGCAGATGACTTGAGAGAAGTACTGACGTTTCGCTGGTGGGAGTTCAGTTTGAGTGAAACAAGTTGGCTGGATAAGAACTATGAACCTCTGATTCTTTAAGTCATGTGAGATGAAGAAATGTTATTTCCCTGAACTACCTTTAGTTCTTTAGATGAAGTATTCCTTCCAAGTCAAGGTGAAGTCAGAAGTTAAGTTTTTTATTAGTTTGATATGGGTAATACACTATACATTATGAATACAGTCTTTTGGATTTTTGTTCTTCTCATTGGAAAGTGTTCTTTTAGGCCCTGTCTGCACATCATCTATCAGGGAACACAGTTTCAGCATAGTTAATTGTATCATGGGTAGGACCTAAATTTCACTGGCCTGAGATCCAAGATTTTCCATTTTAAATTCTGATCCCATGCCAAAGAAGCTGTGTGATAAGACACTAGACTTGAACTTGGGAGATCTGGGTTAAATTTCTGACTCTGCGACAGACTTCCTATGTGACCTTGGTGAAATTACTTAATTTCTCTAAGTCTCAGTTAATTAGCTGTAAAAATTAAATATGTTCTTCCTCTCATCTTTGACCATTCTTGTAAATTACTGTCTTTGGGGCAGAGATGATCTCTTACTATGTTTTCTGTGACTATCACAATGGGACCCTAATCTCATTTGGTGACTCTAAATATTACTGTAACACACAGAAATAATATGGGTGGAAGATTTAGTGAATAGTGTGCAGGCCCAATATCTTATGAAGTTCCAAGACTCCAAGAAGTAGAATCTAGCACTGGAAAAATGAGATTACCAGTGCCAAATATTTCCATTTCTTTTTGGTTATGAGGTTTGTACAGTAAATTCATAGAGTACTAATTACAGTCGTATTTCCCAAAATTCAGTTCTCAGCTGATTTTATTGCTTGTCTGGAATCTAATGAGCTTCTTATTGCTGTACATCAGTCTGAAAGCTTGGGATCCCTTCAAATAGCACACTATTTTAATATTTAATGGCTCAAAAGACATTGGATGCTAAAAATTGAAGTGGGATATAAAAAGCAAGATGGCAATCAGAATGACTAGATTTTAAAGTAGTATCTCATTTCCTTAAAATAGCTTTTACAATATTTTTATTTTGGAAAGTTTGTAAAATGTAAACTTAAATCTGAGAGACTGTTTGAATTATGGCTGCTGCTAATGACATAGGTGGTTCCTATGTTTACATTCAAGAGGAGCAACAATTACTTTGGATTCTTTCCTAAACAGAATATTTTCTTCTTTTGTTCAGTCTGTTAGAGCTCTTTGGGAGATATGTATGTCATGAGGAGCTTTAAAGTTGTACATAATCTTACAGGATGGACTGCAAGTCAAGTATAAATATTGTACATTTTGAACTTTTGGGAAGTTTGACAAATGTAATAATAAATATAACAAAGGCAAGCCTGGCTTATTGGCTATCCTATACAATAAAAACACATACTAAAAATACTTTTAAGTCACACTTGAGCATGTTCTAAAGTCCATTATTTAACAAACTGCCAGGACTGGAAACACTTTGGAAGAGTAGTACAAAAACTTTCAGGATCAGTAAACTTTGTCTAGACAGTTGTGATGGGCCAGAAATCAGCAAGGAAATGTGCATCCCTGTGCAGATGCTATGGAAGCATTTAGTCAAATGCACAATGCAATTTGGATCAATCTTCTTTTGACATGCCAGTTTAAAGATACTACCTCCTGATGGTGGGTGTGCATTAAGGCCCCAATTAATATTATCTGAAATTAAGTTAGCAAAATAATATTGATTTAAAATTATGTATTTAGTCAGTGGTTTGAAAACATTCAGAAAGGTCAGTATTATATCAGTTTGATGGCGGTGAACACTGAAACAGAGAAGTCAAGCGATTTTCCCAAGATCACGATTTCAGTGGCTGAGCTGGGAAGAAACCTCAATTCTAATTATCATTTAGCTTTTTTCTATAATTTAACCTATTATCTCACAACAACCAATTTTAAACACTGTTTATGCTAACCCATGACAGTCAATATCATAGTTTCTAATGGGAAAAAATACCCATCCATGTTTCCTGCAGAGCTAGAAAACTTCCAGTACAACTATGTGTAAAAGACAGTTGTTGCTAGTTTGATTTCAGCTACAATGAAAATAGTACAGCACAGTTTTGGCCAGCAAGTTTCTGTGCCGCAACCACTCACACAGTAATCTTTGGTCCTTCTGACCAATGTACTGAGGCGGAGATGAAATAGTGAACAAAGGGTAGATAACGTACAGGTCACCAGAGCTAGAAAATTAAAATTTACAAATTATTAAACAACTTGTCCTGTGAAGTGTGTATGTACATTCTTCAGAGTGTCCACAGCACTTACAACCAAGTTTTGTAGTTGGCCAATGAGAGTATGGGCTTTCTTCCAATTCCCAGAGACTTCTTCCTTCTTTTTCAGGCTGCAGTCCCTGTGCCTGTGGTCTGCTGGGGACGGTCCCCAGCAGACCACAGGCACCGGGACTGAAGCGGCAGCAGCGGCGGTTCCCCGCGCTTCTGAGGCTTTGCTCTGGCAAAGCCTCAGAAGCGCGGGAACCTGCCCGGTGCCCCTGGTCTGCTGGAGACGGTCTCGCCCCGTTCGTAAGTCGGATAATAAGTCGGATCCGCGTAAGTCGGGGACTGCCTGTAGAAGCGCAGGGACTCTCTGAATACAATACAATGTAATATTAGCACTATCTCTCCCTTGAACTGTCAGCTGAAAACACCTGATTCACCTCTTGCTCATCACTTGGCTGAGCAATTCCACTGGAAAAGGCTTGTAGATTGAAAAACGTGTTACAGGATCTGAATGCACCCCCAAGAGAATTACCGCTTTAGCTACATGTGTGAGGTGCTGAGGGATGTTCTTTTGGGCAATTGAGGTAGTAAACTAGGATGTATAAGTGGTAACACTAAGGACAAGAACAATGAAAGGCAACCCTTGTTAATGAGTAGTTTCAATGGCATGAATGCTTTTTGGAAATATTTGAATTGTATATTTCAGTCAAAATGTTGTGCAAGATTTTCCTGTTCAGATTCACAAAATAACCTTTGCTTCCCTTTGATTTACAGGTTCTTTGGCACCTGGATATCTTCCGTCGGAGCTTCCGACAGATCACAACGCACAAGTGTATGGGAGAGTCTTGCATCTTTTGTGCTCTTAAGGTAAGAGATGGGAGGGGAAAAACAGCTTGGAGAAGTTGGAATTGTTTACCAGAGATTGTGAGTTGCATTGACTTAATCATTGCCACAGGGACTGGTGAGAAGGAGAGTAAATCTACTTAGATATAGGCTGCAGAGAGTCATAGGATACAATGCCATGCTTTTAGTATACTCAGCCGGTGGGTTGTGAGACTGTCATATTTCCTCAGTTCATTGTGTAGTTATCCCATATCCTTCTGGTAGTGGAGGTGTATTGAAACTAACAGGTGCCTCCATCTTATCTGAGTAGTTAAATTAATTTTTCAAATGCAGTTCTCATTTTCTAATTTGACTTTTTGATTTATAATTGCTATTCTCAGCATAGTCCCACTATCTGCCTTTCCATACGATCTGCCTAAGAGCCCAATTTCAAAGGCAGAAGTTAAGTAATAGAAAAGGTGAATGTTCAGCATCAATGAGTGTGCCACCCGTGTTGGTCAGTTATAATGATAGCAGAGAGGCAATGGTTTTCATAAGAAAAGTGTTCTGTGTAGATTTGGTGAAAGATAATCTCTTGCCTATGAAACCTTTAGGCTTAACAGGCTTCCTTTGTCTGCCTTTATAGTAGTCTTTGGATCCAGCCCGCAGCCTGCCCCTTTGGGACCCTTAGGCAGGCTCCCTGCCTGCTGCAACCCGAGGCCACTCAGAGTGGCTGACTGCTGGGACCACAGGCCTCTAGGCACCATGCGCCCCTTTTGGGGTGGGATACTTTGTGCACTGCCCCCACTCCCAGCCTAATCATTGCACCTCCTATTGGCCAGAAACTGGCCAGTGGGAGCTGTGATTGTGTTGAGACTGAGGGGAGTGTGCAAAGTCTCTCCGTGCTCCTTCCCAGTGCTGCAGCCCCAGGTCACGCAAACCCTCTGCATGGCCTCTTCCCCAGGTCACAATTCCCCTCCCCCCGAGACCCTGCTGCACTCCCTCCCCTCTCCCAAGTCAGAATCTTCTCCTGCACCCAAACTCCCTGTCAGACATCACACTGTCTCCTGCACCCCAGTCCCCTACCCCAGGCTCCCTGCTGCGCCCAACCTCTGTCCCTTGACCACTTTCCAAATCTTGGAGTGGCTCCCCCGTCAAAAATGATTGCCCACTCCTGCTTTGTAATATAATACACACCTATTTGCAGTCACTATTGTTAAACCTATTTCACAGGAGAAACAAGTAGTTGAATATTGTAGACATGGGCATGGGAGTAAGGGGGTCTGGATTCTAATTTTGGTTCTGACACTGACTCTGTGACCTTGAGTGGATTACTTAGGCCCACATTTTCAAATGTGTCATCATTTTGGAAGCCTACAGTTTTGGGATTCTCAGCAAGTGCCTCAACTTGGACAACCAACTCCACTAATCAGAAAATTAGTCGATGTGCTTGAAAATATAGACCTCAGCCTCCCTGAGTAGCAATTTCCCCATCCCTACAATGAGGCAGTGATATTTACTTGTCAGATTGGTAGAAAGGCCTTAATGAACAGTTAAAATTGTATTGTGATAGCACTTGAAGGTGCTAAACCCGTTTTGCTAAGTACTTCACATGAACATAACAAAAGATGGTCCCTGCTCCAAAGAGTTTACATTCTGAGTATGAGACAACCGATTGATACAGTGAAGTGGCATGGAGGGAAGGGCAAGGGGGAAGAGAGTACAGGGAAACAGTGAGATTCTAGTAAGTAAAACAGGCAGTAATCACAGTATGCTAGCTTCTAACATTGTTGAGTGACTTGTAGGCGGTATGGCAGAGGCAAGTGTAAAGGATGAATTTGAAGGAGGACAGTATAGTGGATTTTTACAGAAGGGGTCTCCCCATGTAGGGACAGCAAAGGAGAGAGCATGAAGCTGTGTAAATTGTCCATGTCTCATTTTCTATGAAAACTTGATATGGAACAGAGGTGAGGATTGATGGCTGTATATCAGGTGTTCTCAACCTTTTTTAATTTGCTGATCCCTAAAAAATGTTAAATGGTGGTGCAAACTCCTTTGGAAATATTAAACATAGTCTGCAGGCTCCAATGGTCCACAGGCCACAGTTTGAAAACTACTGCTTTATGAGAGGAGACATGTAGAACTTAGGTAAGCTATAAGAGATGACACACAGCTTGCGATAATGATGGGAAAGAGAGTCATTGGAGGGACAAAAAGGAGAAGGTGATGTGATTGAAACAATGAGCCAGAAAATAATTGCAGCAGCTTTTTGAATGCATCTTATGCTATTGTCAAGGCCAGGATGGGAGGAGGTTTCAGTAGTTGAGGAGGAAGATAATGAAGGCCTATGAAAGTTGCAGCTGTATTAATAAGAGAGAAAAGGCTGAATGTTAGGGAAGTTGCATAGGAAGAAGTGACAGGATTTGGATGTGTCCTGGATGTATGGGTTTAGAGAGAGAGAGAGGCTGAGTTGCAAATGATAGATTATGGCCACAAGGACAAAGAGAATGGTGGTGTCTGCGGGGACCAAGAATGGGAAGAATGGAGAGGGTTTGGGGTAAAGTTCAAGGAATTAAGTTTTGTCTGTGCTGAGTTTTAAGCTGACAGCAGGACATCACAAGGTGAAGTCAAATTCAAGGTGAGATTTTAATTTGGATAGAAAAGGTTCCAAAATGCAGAGGTAGAGCAGTGTGCCATCAGTGTAAAGATTAGAATTGGATATGTTTTTGAATGGGGTCACCAAGAGAGATTGTGTAAAGGGAGAAGGGACTTCTTCCACCACTGAATATTGGACTGTGGATGAAGAAGATCCTCTGAAGGAAACAGAGAATGACTGACAAAGCTGGAGAACCAAGAGAGGAAAGAGTCATGAAAACAAAGAACAGTTTGGCTGGCTGGTATTAAAGGCAGTTGATAGCTCAAGGAGGACGATTAAATTTAGTTTATGAAATAAATGGTTGTGAGGTGTATAAAAATAAGCAATATTTATTAAACTGGTTAGTGGCAGATGTGGGCCCAAAACTTTAAAAATATGAGCTTATAGCCCTGTGCTTATTAAAAACACATGAAAAGGCACCACTTTGTCCTCATCCTTCCAACTTTGTATGATTGAGAATACCTGTATTCATCAGTTTCATATCTGAAATCAATGTCCGTGCTATTTAACCACAATTGTTAGCAAAATTTCATCAGAGCCTTTGAATCATACAGAAACCCCAAATTCTTTCTGATACAGGCACTCTCTGTGTTACAAAACTTCTGACTTAGAAATATCTGCACATACAAACAGAAGCTCACCTGCAACCTCAGGGAGCAGGCAAGAGTCACAGGTGGTTGTGAGCAGTGCAAGTGCTGGCCTGAGGACTCCGGAGGAGCAGGGGGCAGTCACACAGCCATTGGCTGCAAAGAAGTGGCACTTAGAAGGGGAATCTCCCGCTTCTCTCCAGTCGCTGGCTGCACAGTTGCCACTGGAAAAACCTAAAAAACAACAAATGGACCTGCAGTACCAGAGACTAACAACAAATATAGATGGTATCATGAGCTTTCATGGGCAGAACCCACTTCTTCAGATGAATGGAGCAAGGGGTTCAGAGTTAAAAAAACAACAGGAAAAGAAGGGATGGGGAGCAAAAGAGAAGGGTAAAACAGCTTATCAATTAGAGTCCCCATGACAAATGAGGCTAATAGAGTGGGCTGTAAGTGCCCGATACTGGCTTCTTCGAGGTCTTCCGGCCCACACTTGTGCCATTCACCATCTCCTGATGAGTGGGGGCTGAGTGCAGCCTGCAGAGAGGCTCAACCTGTGTTGGATAACTGTTCCCAGAAACAAAATGCAGGACTATGTAGCACTTTAAAGACTAGCCAGATGGTTTATTAGATGATGAGCTTTCACGGGCCAGACCCACTTCCTCAGATCAAATAGTGGAAGAAAATAGTCACAACCATATGTACCAAAGGATACAATTAAAAAAAATGAACACATATGAAAAGGACAAATCACATTTCAGAACAGGAGGAAAATAGTCACAACCATATGTACCAAAGGATACAATTAAAAAAAAAATGAACACATATGAAAAGGACAAATCAAATTTCAGAACAGAAGGCGGATGAGGGGGGGAGAGGGGGAAAGGTAAATGTCTGTGAGCTAATGATATTAGAGGTGATAATTGGGGAGGCTATCTTTGTAATGGGTAAGATAGCCAGAATCTTTGTTGAGCCCCCCGCGTAGAGTGTCGAATTTTAGCATGAATGACAGTTCAGAGGATTCCCTTTCAAGTGCAGATTTAAAAGGCTTCTGAAGCAGGATGCAGGTAATTAAGTCGTTGAGACAGTGTCCTTTCTGGTTGAAATGGCAAGAAACTGTTTTTTCTTTGTGATCCTGTCTAATATCTGTTTTGTGGGCATTGATCCTTTGGTGAAGTGTCTGAGACGTTTGTCCAATGTACAAAGCAGATGGACACTTTCGGCACATGATAGCGTAAATTATATTTCTGGATGCGCAGGAATATGTGTTTCCAGAAAGTATGTATCAGTGGATCACAATAAGGGATCAGTTCTGGGTTTGGTTCTGTTCAATATTTTCATTAATGATTTATAAAATAGCACATGGATTAAATTTATGAAGTTTGCAGATGATGCCAAAATGAGAGGTTTTGCAAGTACTTTGGAGGTTAGGATTATAATTCCAAATTATCTGGACAAACGGGACAATTGGTCTGAAGTAAATAAGATTAAATTCAATAATGACAAAAGCAAAGTACTTCACTTAGGAAGGAACAGTTAGTTGTGTATATATACAAAATGGGAAATGACTGCCTAGGAAGGAGTACTGGGGAAAGGAGTCTGGGAGTCATAAGTTTTCAAATACTTAAAAGGTTGTTACAAGAAGGACAGACAAAAATTATTCTTCTTAAACTTTGATGACAGGACAGGAAGCAATGAATTTAAATTGCAGCAAGGGAGGTTTAGGTTTGACATTAGGAAAATCTTTCTACCTGTGAGGTTTGTTGAGCACTGGAATAAAATGCCTGGGGAGGTTGTGG